ATTTGCATCGTTTTTGTGTTTTCGAGTGAAAGGGCAAAAACGATTTGAATACTCTACGTGTGGATATAAAAGCGAAAAAAAATCAGTTTTCAAAAATATCCGGGTACGTGTGGACGAGGCCTCTTATTTAATTTGGTTGTTTTGTCTTTTCAATAGAATTAATTTTTTAAAACATGGTTTTGTATGATTTACGATAAGAAAACGTATTGAAGCATTCAAAATAGTATATAAAACAAAACAAGTAGTATAGAAAGTGAAGTTTCAGCGTCCCCTCAAACAGACTGTACGTATGCAAGTACACGTACGTATCCGAATTTTTAAGGCAGCAAACTTTTTCTTACAAAAAGCTGCAAATTTGCCTTCGTATTTATAAATACTGCAGAATACCCAGCCACTTGGAAGCTGTTATGCCCCTATAACAGTGGCTACGTGGCTACACGGCTACGTAGTCTCCTACGGTTAGGGGTTAGGGTCAGGGTTTGAAATTCGAATCAGATTTATTCACAAGGTGTCACGCTCCAAGTTCTTTAATCCCACTTCGCCCCTTGTGGAAAAAAAGAAACGCATGTAGTTGAGGTATAGAGTGTTTTCACATGACGTCACGAAGGCCTGGTGTCCCGAAACAATGAAACGGCAGCCATGTTGGTGTTCCAAACCAGCCCTGTGGGAGTTGAACTCTCTTCTTATGCTAGCGATTTTTTTTGTTGCAATAACGATTTGCATAGATGCTGGCTACGTGAGTGAAAATGCTCTATACTTCGTTCTTTAAGCATTGAGCCGAAACAAGCGTAATACACATGTAATATTCCTCGATTTTTAAACGATCAACGTAAACAAACACATGTACATGTATACCTCGTCCTTTTAGTTATCCAGGCAGACCCGCAGCTGCGTAGCTGCGTAGTCCATACTAACCTGCTTGATTTCTTGAATGTCTGGTTCTTCGCAACCTTCAATCCCATGCAATATCCGCGTAATCCACTCCGGTTCTCTCGGTTGTTCATGCACAAATTCAAGAAATGATCTTTCGGCAGACACGGTATCAATATCCATGTCTACAAGAAGTGGATAAGATGTCGTGTTCAATGCGTGTAATTTTATTAGATCACAAACGGTATTGTTTAATTAACAAAATGGTCCTCGCGCGAGCTGCCTACAATTTAGCAGAAGGAGGCCTGGGAACAACATCATGCTTGCCTCCTCCACAGGAGCATCGTTTTTTCGTTTTTCGCTCAGAGGCGAGTGCAAAACGCAAGTGACTGGTGACGAAGCGTAAGGGACGATGGGAATGAGTCCCCCCTTCCCCTTCGACAATTTTCATCGAGAGAGAGACGTCTAGGAACAAGGCAGAGAAAATACGGTTTGGTAACGCTCGTTGGTACCCATTAAGCCTGCGTGAGCTTCCCACGCGTTTTCGCAGCTTTTTTTCCGCTTTCGCCAGACAAACCGCCAGCTACACAGGCTATAACCCATTCCAGTACAAACAGGATAAAAATCAGCCGAAATTCTGGTCTGTTGTTTCGGATGTATTCAAACCTCAAGTCCTCGAATCCAATCTAATCCTCTCCAACTTTCCAATTACAGAATGCTCAACCTCTCCAGACGGATGAGGTAGTTTTCGTTTCACATAGAGCGATGCATATTACTCATTTCTGAATCTGCTTATCTTTCAGTTTAAGCAATAAATTAAGTAAGTTATGGCTCTTGGTAAGGGGTAAAAAGCGAAATCAGGAGGGATGGATCTTTGCACAGTTATCTCGCTTTTCTTTTCAATCCTGCCAACATTTGGTTAAAAATCCACTGAAAATTTCGCTTTAAACCTCCTACACTCTCCAGATTAATTTCCCCCTTTCCGGGAAAGTTGGACAAGCAAAATTCCACGAAAGAAAAAACAATGTGGGCAACTAAACTATATATAAAAAGCCAAAGGAAAGTAAGAGACCAAAAGAGAGAGATGAAAGCAAAAATGGCTTATGCGCATGTGCCTAAAACAAAAGCGAATCTCAATCACATCCAATTGGCAGAATCTCAGTTTTAGCCATTTCCATCTAAATCGCGGCAAACCGCCCCAAAAAGGAGGATTTGTGATTGGTGATTGACTCGCCAGTAGCTACCGGTCTTCCAGACGATTGAAGTTGGAAAGCTTTTATGACTGTTTAAATTTGAAAGTATGGCCGAAGAAGACACACAATGCTTCAAAAAGATTCATCGAAACAAACACTCGAGAAAACGATTCAACTTTGAAAACATTAATGATCGTGACGATCTCTTGCTTGGCCTTGGCTCACAAAGCCTCAGTTACGCATGCGTTAGATATTCACGAATAACAAATGGCGGGAACCTTCACTCGCTTCCTTTTAGGCAGGATATTCGTCTGCAAGCACCTTCAGGCAATGATCACTGGAATCAATTCAAGAGGGACCAATTTTATCAAAGTGAGAGTTAGCAATGGGTGCGTGTTTTAAATTAGGTGCTATTTCTAGCTACGTGAGATTCAACCAATTAACTTTTTTTTAGCTTTGTTAGAACACCATAATGCAGTGCTTCATACGGTAAATCAGGCGGCTCTATTGGAAGCTACTGAACAGGCGAAAAAGTACTTGACTTGATGAATTTTATTAAAAGTTAAAAGCATGGCTCTGAAGCACCAGCTGAGGGAAGCGATCAGTTCTGCCATATTTCACAAAACTCTTGCTCCGTATTGACTCGGGAAACTGGTCCGCGCCCACCCTTTTGTATTCCTTCAACAGCGAAAGGCTGGCATCTCGTTATTCAGTCGGACAAAGATGACTTTTTCTGTTAAGACCTCCATGCCCAGGTCTTTCTCTTTCGACAACCGTTCAATGTGTTACTGAGGTAACAGTTCATGCTTTTGTAGTAGGCGGTTTGAGCACGTTTCCGTCAGGATAGCGTTTTTTGAAGCGTGCTGTAACGTCTGGATCTAATAAACGCACACCATCCAACTGATTTCCCAGAGTAATCCTGTTGAAGAAAAACATGCAACACATCAGGCAGGAGAAAACCGTTTTCAAATATTTTCTGACCTAAAACTTTAAGAGATTCACCACTTAAATAACGTAAGGGGGAATAATATCTAAATGTAATCTTGTCTGGTTTCTAGGCCTCAATATTCCGCGCGGCCTATGCGTTTCGGGTCACGTGGTCCAAGCAGGGTTTTGAGGGCATCTCGCGGCTGTTCGACTCGGATACATCACCGAAATGCATTGACCGAGAGGGCCTGGGAAGACGCTGAACAGGGACTGGGCAAAATGTGATCAGTATGTCCAGATTCTGACACTCATCTATAAAAAGGGGATGAGGGGTCTCCGAGGTCGTTATTTAATTCATAGCACTGTAACAGGTCAATGACACGGAAATCCTGGTCATCCGTTTGTTGAAATTCTTCCTTGAAAAAGCGGCAACTGCAACACTAATGGGATAGTTTTCAAATGAATAAAAGAAAGACACGATGGCCAACTCGAACAAAGATGAGCTTATCTTTTCAATTTGCAATCTTTTTCTGTCTTTGTTCGAAACAAAAGGCAACCATTGATAGTTGCCTGCACTTACAAATTTATTATTAACAAAAAAGGAACTGATTATAACGATATTTTCACTGTTGCAAATACATATTCACATCTCGTGACAGGACACTTTAAAGCTAAAATGTAGAAAGGTTTTCCTGTTGCCTTGGTGACATTTTAGATATGCCCACAGCATAGAATGTTCCCGTATTCCGCTTTTGTTCGATACGAAATGTATGCATCATGTATGCATTTTTATAGGACCGAATGACGAAGAACATTACATGCGACTAGCTTTTTACCAAGGTGCAAACTCAATTCAACTTATTATGACTTTAAAACTGTACAGGATCTCAGAGTTAAACGATTAGCATCAACTGATTAAAATATCATACAAAATACTTTACAAGTTACCGCCGACGCTACCTACCAGTTAGGTTGAACATTGTGCTGTCTGCCAAACAGTTCTGGAAAATACAAAATGGAAATTCAAAATCTTTCAATTTTTAGTCACATTTTAACGGAAATAGGTGGGCAAAAACAGCCTAATCCAATGCTGTATCTAATTCGAAGATTCTGTATTTGCCAAAGTAAAGAGACAGGAAACTAGGGACTGCGTCATGACATCACTACTGAACAATAATATCCGTAGACTACCATAACTAAGAAACTTGGGAAACAAATGTTCAGCATGGAAATACGTATTAGGTAATAATAAACTACGAGGTTACCCATAACTGAACAAAGTACATACCAATCTTTCTTGTCCCGGGTGCAAGCCGTTCAATCACTCCATAAATTTCATCAGGCTTGTGACTTGTTTGACGAACCTAGGAAAAAAAATACAGGCAAAATTGAACATTATTTACCTAATCAACGCGTTCAACGCAAGAAAACGCATCTTAGACCCCGTCCACACGTATCAGGATATTTTTGAAAACGGATATTTTTTTTCGCCGTTTTAGCCTTCTGTCCCCATGTGAACGGCAGGCGTTTCGGGCGCCAAAAAACAGGTTTTCGAAAACGGTCACCAGTCAGAGTTGAGTTTTTGAAAACGCTGTCTTGTCGTTTTCTTGTGGACGGACGAAAACGGAGCTTTTCGAATACAACGTTGTCATCTATACAGCACATACTCTGTAAGAGACGCTATCGTACATTATTTTCATCGTTGTAGCGTCAAATTCAAGTGTGAACATTCTGATGAATGTTACTGAGCAGTTAGCACTGACCAATGTCAAGTGAGGATATCCGTGATGTTAGTATTTTGGCATTTGACAATTCTTCACAAACCTCAGCAACAAGCACGTCACAATCCAGACCTCGGTTAAAGTTCTTACATGCTCCTTTCACACCAACCTGTAGATGAATAAATATCCTTAGAAGCCACGGATTTGAGATTCAAAGAAACTAGAGATCACTGAAAACACCAAACAAACCAAACCCAACCATGCAGCGAGGTTTTGGTTCAGTGGTTCAAGGTCCTCTCATCTCAATGTTTTCTATACTCGGTTTGCGTTTCGATCACAGCGGAAAAAGCATTAACTAAAGTAGGTTGAGTTTGATCGTCCGGGTGAACGTAGACCTGAATAGGACTGTTGTTGTTGACAGTGACTGACGTTTCGACAACCTGTGGGGTAGTCATCTTCAGAGTCAACGTGAGTTGTATCACGTCACCTGATGGTATTATACTCTGGTTATTGATCTGATTGGTCGATTACTTCGCGATGCTATTGGTCGTCTATCACTTAAGGCTTAACTGACACACGACCAATAACATCGCGACGTAATTGACCAATCAGATCAATAACCAGAGTATAATACCATCAGCTGACGTGATACAACTCACTTTGACTCGGAAGATGACTACCGCACAGGCTGTCGAAATTTCAGTCACTGTCAACAACAGTCCTATTCAGGACTACGTTCACCCGGACGATCAAACTCAACCTACTTTCGAAATGACTCTGGGTTCAAGCCTTTCACAAAGCATTAACTATTGGTTAGACCACGTACCGTACTTCCCTTTGCTTAGAACCTTACTCAATAAAAGACTGTTCTAGAATACGTTATGCCTGAGTATTGCGTGGAATCAATGTAGGTAGCTAAACAATACAGTAGAACCCTGTTAATTCAACCTAGCTGGGCCATGCAAATCTGGTCGTATTCGTTATTACGACCACGTTCTTAGAAGACTCAGTCATTTTCGTTCCTTTCAATCTTGTTAAATCTACTGGATTTTAAGTCCCTGGCCAGCGGTCATAATACCCGGAGCCCGGAAAGATTTAAGACAATCCACTGTATAGTTTCTGAAACACCTTTAAATCACTACAATGGAGGTAAAAAAAAAAAGTTGGATAGTTCAAAACCCCTCACAGTAATTTTTACATGGAACACTACTACTCATAACAATTTTTTGATAGGCTTTGGGGTTGTCCCTTGATCCCCCCACCCAAGTAACATTGTGCCCCACAAAATGAACTTCTTTGCACCCGTCTTGCTCGAAATTATACATTGTTTGAGGTGGGAGCGGGAAGGGTAGCCAGTTTTACTAATAATATCTTGGCAAACACGTCAAGTATCTCAAAACTTTTGACCTCCATTGCAGCACTCTGCCGCGCACATTCACTGAATCACGAAACTGCCTCTTAATTCAATTTAAACAACTTACATGCTTGTCCCTCCCCTTCCACACACCCTCAAACACACGCGCGCGGTGTAAAGCTTTAGGTCAGCATCTCTCTTACCAAGCAGTGTTCTTTGCCGTGATTAAGCCAGTGCCCAGTCCTTCCGGTTCTTATCAGTCGCTGAAGTTGGTTTGTTTTCACCCAGATCAGCTCATCACATCTTGCGTACCTGACAAATAGTGTACAACACTTATAACAAGTACTGAGCTGGTGTTTTTAAAGGGGCTACGTCACGCTATTTGCTATCGTTTTAATTGAATTCCAAAATAATGGTCCAGTTTTGTTCTTAAGACTATATTTAGCCACTGAAACTGTTTTCTGTCGCCTGTTTCTCCAGATGACAAGGATGGACAGGGATTGAAACTTGAAAAGTTAGCTGTGCCTGCAAAAATCCCAAAACAAATGATTATGCTTAGTTCTCCCTGATGGAAATTGTTGATATCTTCTACGTCATAACCCAGGAGAGGTTTGTGCATGAGTAAAGGCACTTAGTAATGACTTCGGCAAAGAATTGACCAAAAACAGCAATATCCTCGTGACATAAAACTTTTAATATTAAGCAGAATCAGAAGCCTGCTAAAAGAAAGAGCACGGGTGTTTTTACTATACATAACTTACCCCCAAAGCTTTAAACACTCTCGACCCAGTTCCATCGCCCTGAGGACAAACGATACAATGAGCAAGGGTAAAATAGCAAACAGCACAGAAACGTGAATTTGTACCACGGTACCATTTCCCCCTTTCCTTGTCGTTCACTGCCTACTACTTCTACACAAATATTGGAAGATTCACGACAGTTTTATCCACAACTGTTGTTTTGGACATTTGTTATCCTCTCACTTTTTTCTTTTTGAGAAATTCTTAACCTGAATCTGAATGTTTGTCGTTGCCGTAAACGTAACTCTCTACTGTTCATTGTTGTGGAAATAGCTGACACTATATCTTTCGCATTAATTTATGAGTAAGTATTAGTGACGGAGTGAGCAGTGAGCAGTTATCACCGATTTCTTTTCTTTCCTCGACGGAAAAGTAGGCAGATGCCTCTTGTTCTGTTCTTGTTTGAAGGGGAAATGAATGTTGGGGTCTCTACTACGGAATTTAGCCAAACACTGAAATCGCGGTAAAAGATACTGGTATGCACGCAATACTTACCTACCAGTCACCCAAAGGAATATGTATCCTTCATCTTGAAGTGAAGGAACATCCAATTTGCGCATTTCATCATCGGACATGGTGCCGTAAGGAAGCTAATGATTAAAAGAGAACAAAACATTGAACTAAGCGGTTAAAACACTTCTTTTGGAGCTAGGGTGCACACTTGCAGGAGCATGCCTTGTGTGATAATTCTCCTGAACAAATCAATTACGAATAGTCGCCTTTTTGAGGCAAAAACCACATATGGATTTCCACCACCACGGACAAATTATGTCCACATCAAAGCTTAAGAAATGCGAGCAACTTTTCTCATACAACTTATCGGCCAATGCTCCGTTACAAATCAAGCTTGTTTTTATACACATTGTCAACAAACGCGTATTGTTGGTAACACGCCGAGAACCCCAGTCAAACTACAACCCAACACTGCCATATTTCTCATCCTTTCCTTCCCTAGTAAGGCTGCCAAATGACTAACTCTGGGAGAATTAGTCTCCTACTATTCCCTGGGATATTCCGCCATATTCATATCTGTGCCCTTTCTAAGTTGCTAGCCTGTTTAATAACTACATTGTATACAGAAAAATTATAATTAAAGAACAAACTGTAAATATACCTCCATATGTATATCCCATGGCGGGTCAGCCATTACAACAGCGAATTTTCCCAGAACAGTCATATCAAGGTACCGCAAGTCACACTGTATCCACTGGAAAATCAAAACAAAAAGCTGTCTTTAACTGTAAACAGGGGAATACTGGCTACACTTATAACATCAAAAGAAATACCGGAATCCGAGTTGTTCAAAGCTAGGTTAAGATAACCCAGGGTTAGTCCGAGATTTGAATTCAGATTTGAAAGCTTTTCAGTTTTAATTCTTTTTGTCTACTAGTTGATGATTGGAAGCTCTAAAAATAACGGAGAAAATTATCCGAGAAAATGCTTTTGAACACAAGAAAAAGAAACCCGGGTTAAGCGCTAATCGGCTTTCGAACAACTGGGCCCTGTGAGATTGAGGAAAGAAATTATGGAAAGCTATTGTCATTCAGGGTTCGTACTCTTTCGGGTTCTCCAAATTCCATGACTTTCCATGACTTTATCCATGACCTTTTCTAGTTTTCCATGACCTTAGGTTTAGCTGTCACTTACGATTACATCATCTGCAGCAACTAATCTACCAAACAAAACTTTAATTTTTCATGACTTTCAAGGACCGAAAATTAAATTCCATGACTTTCCAGGCCTTGAAAACGAAATTCTTACATTCCATCACTTTCCAGGTTTTCCATGACCTGTGCGAACCCTGTAAGAAAGTAATTACCGTATTTATTCGGCGTTTATTGGATTTTCATGCAGTGTTTTCGATGCGGCGTTTGTTCAAGGGCGGCGTTTATTTCTTAAATCACTGACAACAATGACGATAAATCTTTTATAAATTTCATATAAAACAGAACGTCCTTTAAGTTCCAATGTTTCTGTTTTTTGCTGAAATAGAATGGTAATTATCTGTTAATGGTGTAGATTACCAAGTTGTACTGAGGTTTTTCTGTAATCCTCGAATAAACAACGCATTCGAGGCGGCGTTTATTGTAATTTCGCTTCTATCTGCGGCGTTTAATCGATTAAATACGGTACGTGCTGTAAAGATTTCTTAGAAAAGATGCAGAAAATCAAGAAAAGAGAACGACCATGTGCTTCACCAATTTTTATACTGTTGATCTCGTAAAATTACCTCGAGGCATGATTTAGGTATCTGCTGCACAACTCTGACAACGAATTAGAGTCAGTGACCGAGTTGCGACATTACAATCGATAATTTAGATCTTTCTACATACCTGAGGTGGATAAAGTATCACTTTATTGTCCTCTTCTACCGTCTTAGCGAGAGACGACTGAAGAGAAAAAACGTAGACACACAACAATGTCAATATCATTACAATCAGCTCTAGAAGCAATTACCCTTGGATTCACACTTGTATTTGGAGACAATTACTCCCTAGCTTACTGCATGTTACTGTGGTTATATTGCTTTCAAACGTGAATCCATATAAGCAAATTGTGAGCATAACAGCCTAACTTGTTGTTTCGCGCTACTCGTTTCGCAAGCTCTGAAGTGATTTTGGGTTTTTCTAAATGGAAGCCAGATTCATACAAATCACGACGACGCAACGTAGGTAGGAATCGCAAGCTCCTTCGAAGTTTGCAAAAACTGGTGACGTTATACCACAAATTTAGCTGTTACAAAACAATTGAAAAATTATTGGACGAATGACGTAAATCTCTAAAATTTGACAAGCAAGAGCTTTAAAATATATTATGAAGAATCAAAAGGGAAACTCAAATCAATCAGAAAAAGTAAAAATAAATAAATGATAATATTGGCGCATTTTATTTACCTTCTCTTCTTTTTTCTTTTCTTTTCCTTTTTCCTCTTTGTTCATCTCGACATCACTATAATCAACTTCATAGTGAACATACTAAAAAACACATAAATAAGTAAATATATAAAAATATAAATCCAGCATAGTAAATTAAAATGCGACAAAAAATAAAAGAAGTCTACAACAAGGAAGTCAACAAGTCTTTGATTTCTTTTTGAGACTAACACAAACAGGTTGTAGGAAACCGTGATATTTTGTTGCTGTACTTTGTTGGTTTGCTGTTATAATTTGGGCCATAGTGAGCTTTTGTAGTGCGAAGAGTATTTTAACTGACTTCAGCTATCCCCTTGGCATAATCGTATATTTTGCATATATCTGACAGTTTCAGAATGAATAAATTAAACCAGCATGGTTGTAGCTTTTCCAAAAGACGGTATAAGAAATCTCAAAATGTTAGCTCATTATTTCAGGATATTTAAGTTAATTTTCAGTGAGGGCCAACTCACCTTGCAAGTGTCCATGTGAAAACACGTGTTTAGAAATGAACAATCTCCAAGAGATTCTATGGAAATAATGAATTTACTGTTCCAAACTTGTTTGCAGACAATAATATATATATTCCTTTTTCTCATGGTACAAAAAAATTAAATTAATGAGCTCAATATCCACATACAAACTCACCAGACTGATCTTAGACATTCCTTAAAGAATACGTTGAGATAATTCCCCCGGATAAAGGATCAAAGTTTTTTCCTTTGTTGACAATTTATTAATTCTAGCAACCTTTTCTCTTGATAGAATATTGATGTTGTTAAGAGAAAACAAATATTGACATCGAAAGAAAACTTACCATCTGTATGTTTCTGTATAATTTTTCGGAAATGGACCTTTAGAAAAATAACAGGTGCTTGAATGAATTATGTTTTTCAGAGTGTCTTTACGAATACAATTAAGTATAACAGATGTGTGAAATCCACAGCCATTTATATTTCTGGGGGTAAATTCAACGGTCCTTTCAGATAAACATAAAGAGTTGGGCAAAAGTGAGTATAAATCACTATTAAACATCTATGCTGAAGGCACGTATCTACTGGTAATACATTTACAAATGTAACTGATTTCAACTACATTAATGAATACATGTACATTATGTATGCAGATAACAGGCTAAGATATTTTAGGCAGAGAGGAAAGACAAACAAGTGGTCACAGTAATGAAACCATTATTGCATAATAAACAAGAATACCGTTTCAGATAACATTAGTGTTTTTACAGTGGCATGAGTAGATGTATACAGTCAACTCCCTTTATTGCAGACACCCTCGGACTGCGGTTTAGTGTCCACAATGGCAAGAGTCATAATTGTGGGGTGTGAGAAAACGTGTCTTGATATTAGAGGAATTACACTTATTTATATTGTAAATTGGCTCCAGAAACAATTACCAATTATTGGACGAGGTTGAGCAAAATATCGTGAATTGTCAGCGGCGAGCAGATCAATTGCCCAAGCTAAAGGCTGAGGCAAATAATTGATGTGCGAGACACTGGCAAATCACGATATTTTGTGATAACCGAGTTCAATAACTGTTTTATCATTCGATCACCAAGTTTGTTTTTTAATGAATATCTTCGGGAAACGAAGCTGCCTTTTTTCATGCAAGAATGTATCACGCGCGGTTTCGTTTACGCATGAGCAGAATATTACTTGCAGCCAAACACAGTTGGACGACATTACACATGAGCAGACCATTATTTCTAGGCAGTTATTTGCAGGTCACGTGGTGGGCTTTCAGCCAATGAAAAGAAAGAAAAATTTGCATCAAATGATAATAAGTTTTATTGTACTGCAGTTTTCGCATATCATTCTTTATTATTATTTAATGAATTCGCCACGGTGACTCAACACAGTGACAGGGGATGAAACAGGACTTACGTCCCAATTGGGGAGCATCGTCAGAACTTTATTTACATACAATACAAATCGTAACAGAACAGTGAACTATCCCTTTTGTTCACCACAACAGTATCTCAACAATTTGCAGTACCAAAAAACCATAAAATATGGTACCAGAAAATCCACCCTATGTACATCATGACTGTTTTTTGCAAGTAAGTATGGGATTTTCTTTGAAAGAAAGTGTTGCATGTAAACGGGAATCGGAAAATTCAGAAGTTTGTGGGAAAAGGGTCAACAGAGGAGCTGGCTTAGGACTAGATATTCCAGTTACTTACAAAATTAAAGACACAAAGAAGTATTTGGAAAGACTTGACCACCTCATTCATAGCAGTGAAACTGCAACATTGTCGTTAAGAAGAAGGACTCTCCAATAATAACATGCAGAAAAAGAAGCACTGATCAAACCAAAGTGACAAAGGTTCATGAAGAGAAAACGAGGAGGAAATAAAAAAATTAATAATAATTTGAGATAATTCTGCTTAAATGTTAAAAGATGCTGATCAATCTCCATTATAACAAGAGTTAGAAAATAAAATTGCACTGTTGGGACTGAGACAGGCATCAATAATAGTGAGAGTCTGTAATAGCAAGAGTTTGTTTCAGTGGAAAGTCTAAGTTTCGACGGGGATTTAGCAGCTGTCCCTATCAGCAGGGCGTCCCTACTAGCGAGGTGTCCATGAGGCGAGAGTTTACTGTATTAGGCTGTAACACAAATTTATGTATTCCTGGCTGGCAGTCTATGAACAACAGTACTGAAGAATAATATTTAAGTAAAAAACTCTTTTTTTTTTCAATGTAAAAACATAACTGGTTGCAAATACTCTCAACCCCCTTTATAGCAGACACTGTAGCCACAGTAGGGACCTTGAGTTAGTATCCTCATTAGCAAGAGTTCGTAATAGCTCGCGAGAGTTTATTCCAGTCAAACAACTGTAATCTGTTTTTGCCTGGGATTTAGCTGCTGTCCGTATTATCGGGGTGTCCCGTTATAGCGGGGTGTCCACAAGGCGACAATAGACTGTATTAGCAAAATGTAATGTTCTTTATCATTTTAAGTTTACCTTTCTACAAGGTTGACCCTGTGGGTTGTTCCTTCTACAGTCTCCTCTTGTACCATGATCACAGAACTCATGAACAAATGCTCCCCCTTGTGATTTGAACTTTTCTACTGTAGATTGTTCCTAAAAATGTTTTTCAATGCAATTAAAATGACATCAATGATATAGTGCTAATAATTATAGCAGCATGGAAGAAGAATCTGCTTTGGAGTAAACTCATTTTATATTGCTGATGAAGTTTGAGCAACTTGAACAAACTATTCAGTTGTTTTGAAATTTAATACAGACACGAGCAATAAAATGATTTGAATTTAAAAAATAAAATTAGGCAAACTAACAAATACACCATACTTCTATTATCATTACTGAAGGTATTATAAGAATTTTGCAACCATTCCAAAGTTTTTCTGTGTTATTTTCTGAACCTTCCTTTGTGACTGAAGATTCATGAACCCCATAATGCAAAAAGTATCGGATAACTTACGCACTTCTCAATGTACAGCCCCACCCCTACCCCACCCCAGCCCAGGAGGAGGGGTCAGGCGGCAAGAAAAGCTGAGGGAGGGATTTGAGAGTCAAACAAGGTTGACTGAAATTTAATTTTGACATGTAAAATATCCAAATGGCTGATTGTTGAGACTGCCAGAGGGTGGGGTGTTTGACTGAGTTGCCAATAAGTATGTCAAAATCCAACAGGGTTGCCTGACCTTCCCCACAGGACACTTTTAGGACAGCTTTTTTCTAAATCTTCAATCCTCACCTTGTGTGACGGAACATTGAGCAAATCCAAAATTTCATCTCCAACTTTTTTATTCTGGATAAAATGGATTAAAAAATGTGAATGATGAGAATTGCAAATATATAACTACCTCTTACAAAATTGACTCACATAACAGCCCCCCATGAATTAAAACTTGGGGCTGAAAATTTCCCCCTGGATGGCATGACCCTGATTTACTTTCATAGGGAAATAGAAAATAGAAATTTGCTAGAAATAGAAATTCACTGGCTGATTCCCTGCCTGCTAGCTAGCTGAATTTACCTGGCAACTTATAATCATAACGACATCCCTGCATGAATAACAACCTTTCATAAAATACATAGAATTGACCAACTGATATCTGATCACATTCTCCAGCCAAAACACTATACACATACTATTTCCTGGCTTCACCTCAGATTTAATTAATTAATGTTACTTACTTCCATCTCCTTTATTGTTGGCATGGATAAAAGACTCTGAAATTCACAATTAAAGGCATGCAATTTATAATATGGCATTATGGCCACAAAACAAGTCAAATAAGTCATGCACAAAATATATCCAACACACATGCAACATAAAATTACACAAAGTACTATTGTCTAAACAAATGTAGCGACCAACATCAGTCACAGAGAACTGTTGAGCATTGAAGCTCATTCCACAGTTTTATATATTTCCACACAATCATAGACACTTCATGACTGAACCTGAGGGAAACAGTTTTAAATTTTGTCTGCCGAGGAAAACATTGAGATTTGAGGGAAACAAAATTAACTGTTTCCCCAGGGACCAGTCTTCAGGTGAATTGTTATATAGCTGGAAATTCATTAAACCTCACTGCATAGCATTTTGCAATTTTACCCACTCAGATGTTTTGACAGGAAACGGTTTTATTGTTAGATGTCTTGTGACCTTGAAGTGACCAATGAGATCATGCACTGCTGGAAAACAATTTCCAGCTATGTAACAATAACTGTTGTCAACATTGATCACCATCCTACTTGTTGTATGTAAAGAATAAAAAAGAACATACATCAATATCATCTACTGATTCAGGTTTGGATTTTGTTACTGCAGGGGTTGGTGATGAAACTGTGTTGGCAGCATCACTAAATATGAAAATAAAGATAATAACAAATATTGCTTGGAATGATATTTAACCTTGGGTAGTTTACGACTTTATACAACCCTAAAATGCCGCCGTTTTCAAGACAATAAACATCGCTGATCTCATTCTTGTTTGAAGTTTGCAAAACAATTTAATTCCTAATTTATGCAGGGCAGTGGCGTGACTCAATCTGTCCGATTTTTAGCCAATGAAACTCTGTTACTTGTCATCAGTGGCCAATCACCGAGTGAGAAAAGTATTGTATACCTGCCAACTTTTTCTGAGATATAAGCGCGAGATTTTTATCCTGGGAGTGCTGGGATTTTTGACGACGACACGATCATTTCCGAAGATTCCCGAAGAAGTCCGAAGTCTTCCAAAGACGTCCGAAGTCTGCCGAAGTCTGCCAAAGGCGAGCTCGCTCCCAGTGCTTTTCACTTCAAAAATCAGAGATCGCGAGGAAGGTATTGCCATTTATTCATTTTACACATGGTTTTCGTTCCTTACATGGGTCTGAGTTAACATATTTTTGGAAACTGTGTCCAGCAGGACGGCAACAACTCACATTTTTCAATCAGGCGTGAGAAATTGGCCCGCAGGCGTGAGCCGGCGTGAGATCGAAGTTTTCAACCGGCAGGCGTGAGAGTTGGCAGGTATAGTATTGACAATACCCAAGGCTGTGCTCTAAGGAAAATTGAAGGGAGCCCAGTGCTCTGAAACTGTAAAATCTAGGGTGCCCAGCATATGATTTGTATGAAAAATCTGAGATTTTCTAGTCGCCCAAGGGCAAAAGTTAGGCGCCAGGGGCCACCAGGCTCCGCTAGAGCACAGCCCTGATACCACTGCACTAGTTTTAAGAAGTCATAAATTTCTTGTGTTTTCTTCATTTTTATCGGCAATGTTTGACTTTTTCGAGTTTTTGTTATTTGTAAAAACAAAGTTTGTTGTGGATCCACTTGCCGGCGGCTCGTGGACCCACAACACTTTGACAATGTTATTCATGACATCATTTTATCATCAATAAGAGGACAGACAATAAAAAACCGGCATCAATTTGCTAAATTGGGCATACATGTGCATGTTAATTACCTCATTATGACAACTTAGACCTAAGAATCCATCTTCATTTTGTAACCACAAAACTAAGATTCAAGCCATGTTAGCTTCAAAGTGAAAAATACTTAACAGGGTTTGAGCTAGGATTTGATCACTAGGGGACAATTTGTCCCCTTGGCTAAAATTTTGCGGGACATTTTAATTTTTAGGGGGACAGAAATTTGTACACCCTTCTGCTGATGCAAACGGGTTTGTCTTCTTAGCAGGGCTTCTGACAGGTCTCGGAAGAAAAAGCCAAATTTCATGGGATTTTTAGGGACAAATTCGCGGAAAAATCGGCCGATTCAGGAATTTCGCGGTAGTTTTCAGGGCAAACTTCTCTGAAAAGAATTCGGTAAAAAACGGCCGATTTTGTGGTTACTTTCAAGGCAAATTTCGCTAGAAATCAAGCAGTTTTGCGCTGATCAGACCAGCCTTTTTAACATTTTTCTAAAAGAGGTCATCATTTGCTCTTTCAACAACAATACACTCCAGAAATGAACCAATGGCAAAGTCTTGAACATCATGGCTAATGCCCAGTTTTTCGCAACATAATCTGTTTGCATGTTTCAGTGACGAAGTTCCAAGATAAATTTGCAAGTTTACGGCAAGTAAATAGCCCCTATGGCTGAAATAACTTTCAAATATGTTGTACAGACGTGTATTTGATAAGGGAACGCGTCCAAATATCGGTAGGGAACCCGATCATGGGAAACGGACCCGATTAATTTTCCGATTGATGGGAATCGGTACCGATCTATAGGCACCAGTTGCCGTTTCCGATTACGATAAAAACTTTGCCGATTCAATCGGAGCCGGTTGACATTCCGATGTTCGTATGTGTCATCGTCATATTATTTTATCTGATATGTAAAATGAAGCGTGTCACGAAACCAAATAATGAAAGAGTCGTTTCACTCCAAAGTAATTTCAATCGACTGTACCTTTTTCCTACTCCATAACAAATAACAATATTGTATGTTCCTGCAGAGTTTGACTAATAGTCGCGGGTCGCGGGTCGCGGGTCCAATGTCGCGGTCGCGGGTCCAATGTCGCGGTCGCGGGTCCAATGTCGCGGTCGCGGGTCCAAAGTCGCGGTCGCGGGTCCAATGTCGCGGTCGCGGGTCCAAAGTCGCGGTCGTGGGTCCAATGTCGCGGCAGGGGAAAATGATTTGAAAACGACTGATATGAAAACAATATGAAGGGAAAAAACCTTTTTTATGCACGATACTCTACGATAGCCAATTTACAGGTTACGGATGTTAGAGTCAACAATATAATGTCTCAAGAAAAGACCTAAAAGAAAAAGCTGGCCGACTTTTGTGTTCACCGCAAGTTTATTTTGTTTTCTTTCTGCCGGGCCCAGTTAAGTGTAAATTCAGCTTTGAATATACTTATGTATAACAGTATCTGATAAAAAATGTTACCATGAGTAACCATTGTTTTCTTCTTGTCTATGAATTGCTTACAAATTCTTAAGGGTGCATTCACTGAAAAATGTGCGATACACTTCATAGACTATAAATTATAAACGTTAAAACAACTTAAAACCTTTTTTAAAAAAGGCTATCTCGGGCTCAAAAAGCTACGAGTCTGTCGGTAGAAGAAACGAGAACTGTTTCAATTTTAACAAATGTTTTCGGCAAAAATAAAGAAAACGCTTGTTGAAAAACTTCCTGGTCGCTGTTACGAAAAATTGTATTGCGTGACTAGTGTGACTTTCTAGAAGCTTCGAGAGAGTTCATAATTTGTTTATTTTAGGATCTTGTGTAAGCGTTTCTAAAAGCGGTATATTTTGTAATCTTTCTATAATTAGACTATTTGGAAAGTTCTAGAATCTTATTGTAAACGTATGTAAGGTAGGCGAGCCCGAGTTAAGTTTTAACTAGTTTTCACAAGCGAAGAGAGTTTGACGTTGGTCGTGTTTAGTCAAGTGTGACGAAGGCAGTGTTTATTCAAGTTGGCGGAGGCCGTGTAAGTTTAACGAGGTACGTGCTGTTGTGGAGTTTTACTCAGTGGAAACTACGTTTATCTTTGGAATAAATCTTCTTGTTGCTGTTCCGACAACCCTGCGTTCAGTTTAGTTTGCAAGCTACCCGTCTTCTAAAAGATTACCCGCGTAACAGTCGCAAACTCCCAAAATAAACTCTTTGCACAAGTAACTGGAAAGAGGAGGAGAGACGTTGGGCTTGAAGTGCCAGTAAAGTACATTCAAGCGGGTATTCAAGGCATAACTTTAATAAAAAACAAGTAATAATCCACAGCAAGAGGGGATAAAGCTCGAGTTTTATCCTCTCTTGTCCACAGAAAGGAGTTTGTTCCCAATAACGATTGCAATCCGGAATCCAAGTTCTACCAAGAGAGAATAGATCATAGTCTCTTGGTTCTACTGACAAAGACTTGAATCCAGTACCTGGAATCTGGAATTACTTACCTAATTTATTGTCTTTTCTTAGCTCTGGTGGAGTTGATAACTTACCGTTTTCAGTGTCCGGTTTACTTTCTTTTTCAGCTTCATGATATCGGGCGTTATTATTTCCTTACCTACTTACTCACTTAGTTATTTACGATGCATGTTTTCAAGATTTGACTGAGACGCACATTGAAAGGCTTCCTATTGTCAGGTTGTCCTGGTTGCCATTTAGGTGAAGAGAACAAGAAGTTATATTGAACACTCTGGGTTGCCGTCTAAGTTGTAAAAATAAAAGCATTAAGCGAAAATCTTGCTTCGAGGAACAGACTCCTTTCTGTGGATTATTACTTGTTTCCATATTAAATTCATGCCTTAAATACCGCTTGAATGAAGTTTCATGCGCCCATTTACATTTTCTTTCAGTTTTGCCGAAAACATTTGTTAAATATAAGAGTTCTCGTTTCTTCTACCGACAGACTCGTAGCTTTTTGAGCCCGAGTTCGCTTTTTTAAAAAAAGGCTTTAAGTTGTTGTAACGTTTATAATCTGTAGGCTATGAAGTGTATCGCATATTTTTCCGTAATTGAACCCCTAAGCATTTGTGAGCAATTCATCGACAAGAAGAAAGCAACGGTAACTTATGGTAACTTTTTTTATCAGATACTGTTTTACATAAGTATATTCAAAGCTGAATTTACACATAACTGGGCCCGACAGAAAGAAAACAAAATAAACTTGCGCTGAACACAAAAGTCGGCCAGCTTTTTCTTTTAGGTCTTTTCTTGAGACATTATTTTGTTGACTCTAACATGCGTAACCTGTAAATTGGCTACCGTAGAGTATTGTGCATAAAAAAGATTTTTTCCCTTTATATTGTGTTCATATCAGTCGTTTTCACTCAGCTGTTACCTCGAACCCCAAATCATTTTCCCCTGCCGCGACATTGGACCCGCGACCGCGACATTGGACCCGCGACCGCGACTTTGGACCCGCGACCGCGACTTTGGACCCGCGACCGCGACATTGGACCCGCGACCCGCGACCCGCGACTATTAGTCAAACTCGTTCCTGCATGTTGTGTTTCGAGTTTGTTGATTTGATGCGTGCCTATACACGTGATTTTCGGCGTTTTGCAGAGGTATTTCCTTCAGTCGATCGCAAACACCACGCTGCTCCATAACATTTATTCTATGAAAATTAAAAAGAGTTAAATATTACGACGCAAAACACCACTGTTCTTCGTTGATATATAGCAAACAAAACACCTTACTGAGTAGTGTGTTTTTTACTCGATACTTTCTAACAATGCAATCCAAAAACACAACCGGAACTCACTTTCTCGAAACACAGATGGATTCATAGACTTGTTACAAGTAGACCTCAACGGGTTTCCTAGCGAGCGGAGCGAGAGCAAAACCATGGATAATATAAAACCACGGGATAAACTTTTACGAAAATTTGCGTCTTTCATTCAACGATCCTATAAAACGCAAGGTGTAATGCGATCTGAGGCAAAAAATACCGACCAATTAGATTGTGGCCTCAGATTGTCTCCAGGGAATTAGCAACAAGAACTGAAAGATTCCCACACTCGCGAGTCACGGAAGACACGGAACGAAGTTTCATACAGGAGCTACCAAAGAGAGAATGGCTTAGCGACTTTGCTGTATGTTCTTTGAGCTTGAGCATGGTGCCACGTGAAATTGCTTTCCACTCTCAGCACTTAGAAAAATCTGCACTTGACTCTAGGTGGCTGACTGTTTGACAAAAATCAGAACCTATTTTACCGGAGTGTTCAACTAAAGCAAACTGGCATACATCCGGTAAGTTCGACTCAATAGTAGAAAGACAATCGAGAAAGAGAAAACCAGTTGAACGCCTCCATCAGTCACTTTTTTGAGTTCATATGCAACCAATAAACAACTTGCAGCTTGATTCTCAGACGATGTCCTCTTCTCTCCTGTGGCAATTTAGCAGTTAAAGTACACGACATGGTAACCGGGCATGGTAACAACATTTGCATTTTGGTCGTGGATGTTCTGACGTCTATTTTTTTCGTTTACAGTCCTAAACTGTTTATTCCTCCAAAGATTCCCATAACCATGCGTTTTGGGTTCCGGTTAGCACAGGCTCAAGCTATTTTAAAATTATCATTTTTTAAAATTATCACGTCGTACACTTGCAATGTACATTTAATGCGCCGTCTTTCACTCAAAAGATACCTGCTGTTTCTTCTCGTGCCCTTTTTGATACACAAATTTAATATTTTCTGGTCATACTCTGTCATAGGAAATACAAACAAAATAATGTTCGAAACTGTGACGTTAAATTTCGGTTCAAACAAGACACATTTATAAGAAAGATAAGGTTATAAAAAACAACATTCACGCTTTTGCTTTTGCTTTTGTGACGGGTTATTTGAGCTGCCAGATATTTTTGATGACCTTTGTTAATTGGCCCGATAAAGACTTGAGACCCGTTGCCGATTCCGTTTCATTCGGTGCCGATAAAATCGGGTCCGACATTCAACAGAATCGGAAAAAATCGGTGCCCAATTGATCGGCATCGGTGTGACCCGATGCCGATATTTGGACGCGTTCCCTAAGATTTCTACTGAATTTCGCGGTATTTTTCGTGTTTTTGTGAATTTCGCGGCTCCGCGACCACGCGAAATATCAGAAGCCCTGTCAGATTTCCGACAAAAATAGCATCAGAGCGTGACTAAAACGTGACCCTAGAAGGAACTTTAAACGTGCGGTAAAATATACTTTTCACGTTCTGTTTCAGCTTGCAATTTCTGTACTGAAATAAAACTCTTCGTTTGTGCTTTCTTTCGTGTTTTTTTTTCCCTTGGCCGTTTCTTAAAGGGACAATTCCAATTGCAGTGCGGGATTGGCGCAATGGCGCGGCCTGGCTCAAACCCTGACTTAACATATCCCTTGACTTTAATTGAACATAAAAATAAATGAATGTCTTTAATATTTTAATTAAACAACTACATGTACATGTATGCTTCTTGTCTCAATGAAGTGCTGAAAGTGTGCAATATACAGAGAACTCCAGTGTCAGTGAACAGGGATTTTAACCTTACCTTTCCCGTTTTCTTTTCTTTGATGCTGATTTATCTGAAAACAAATGTGAATAAAGACCAGATTAATTGTTCTATAATTAGGACAACATTATAACATAGAATGAGTATGTCCATATCAGCAATTAAATCTGAGTCACCCACATGGCCTTAGCACACTGTAAATGAAAACTACTTGTAGCTAGTTTTCTGCATGAGAACACTCAAACTCAAAGTATTAGTATTATGTGGCCTTCTCCACTGTCAAACTCTAAAATCTTATATAGAATATATTCTAGATCAGCTCTTCAATCTCATGAAAACTGCTAATATATTAATAAGGTGTCCGTATTACATGTATTAAGCAGGTTGAATTTGGAGAAAATGTATAAGGGCTTTCTTTCCCCAAGGAAAACGCAATCTGTCCATAATAATTAATGAGGAATCTGTATTAGGCCTAAGAATCCAAAAATCAAAATATTAGTATTATATGCTCTCTCCACTGTAAACGAGAAAAATCTTATAAATTCTAGATCAGCTCTTCACTCTAATGAATAATGATTTTATCTCAACCTTCTCTTTCATTAGGTGTCACTAGTCTTGTGTTCTGACAGTGATAGATCAATATAATATTATGTTATTGCCGTTTTCTTAAATATACATTTTAACTTCACCTTAAAAATATAAAAGTTTCTTCTACACTTTAAAATTGTTGTTATAACTTTCAACTTAAATCTTCCTGTGTTTCACTTTCATTAATTCAGGTGACAATATTATTTAAGCTTTGCATCTTAGAATAAACATTTGGATGTACAAAAGAGCTTTAATTAGCCTCTGTCTCCAAATTTGCTCACTTTGTACACAAGAAATGTTTCATTCATAACATAAAGCCCTGTTTTTTAACTGCTCTACTTAAACATTATCTTATCTGGATACCTTTTGAAGACAGGTCCCTGTGAACAGCATCCAGCTGATGGTAGAACATAAAAGGAAAAGGAACCAAATCTGATAACTGTGAGAATTTTTACCACATGTATAAAACTGAAAAACTTCTTATCAGAGTTATATCAAATAATTACACACAGCTTAATAAATTAACATAAAATTGAAAAAAAAATTTCTAGTTGAATAGGAAGTAGCCTCTACTGGTATTTTGCCTGTTTTGGTTACCAGCTTCTTCAACCATCTCAGAACTTGGTTGATACATGTTCATAGTGTATGGTTGTACCTGATGGCTAGTTTGAGCTTACAGATTTCACTATTAGCAACAATCAAGAACATTGCATTCTGTG